GATCACATATTTCAATCAGATGTATAGTCTTCTTTGAAAGTCAGACTGCATGCACAACCAGCTCTAGGACATTTAGATCATACTAAAACTTAGCAGTCTACATATTTCAAATACTTATTGTGTACTTTTCTTTGTAATACGAGCTAGAAAATCTGCAGAAATGACACTCCCAACTCCATTACTTTTAACAATAGGCCTCTGCTAGTAAGCAGAGAAGAAAGTATGCCTTCTAAAAGAGTTCACTCATTCTTCAATCTGGTGCAAGCCTGATGTTGGAGGACAGTTCTGCGCCTCTTGGAAATTAAATATTTCACTGAGAATCCCATATTGCACCAACATTTTTTCCTGAAAAAAATGTGGTGCAGGAAACATTGTATTGATTATAGGTATTTCATAAAGAACAGAGACAGAGCTGCCTCTATTCTTTGTCAAAGAAGTTGAGAGTTATGTTTGATATGTCTACTATACTCCCATACCTTTCCATTACTGGAGTATCTGCGAACCTCACCTCCAATACAGGACTTATGCGCACAACATCTCTTGTGAGGTAGTGAGATGCCATTAATCCTATTTTAAAATGAAAAACAAAGACAAAAAGGGGTCATCTACATGTGCATATTAATGCCCAGCAATAAACTCTGGCACATATGGCATGGGAGTTTATTGTTCTGGGAGCTGTGTTTACATGTGCTTTTGGGACTGGATCATGTTGAGCCAGGCAGGGTGCTTCAGTGTGGGGCTAGCTGGCAGGTAACCCCCACACTGAAGCACCCTTGTGCCCCAACCAGCCCTGTAAGCATCTACACATGCACTGCTGCTCATGAAAACATTCAACAGCAGGATAGTACTTATATTTACAAGTACTAACCAGCTGTGGAGTTTATTAGTTTCCTGAGACCTAATAGGGGCCTAATGTATAGACACCAAAATGTTTACTATGGGGCTAATTAGGTAGCTCCACAGTAAATGTCTCAAGTAGATATGCCCAGATTGATTAATTTGCTTCAGGTTATGCAGTCTGTTGCATAACAAAGAACTGAATCCATCTCTTCCAAATCTCCGAGTGACTCATAAGTTTCTTCATCTTGTACCATTCTCCATAACAGAAGACCAAGGCTGCCAGTCCTGATTCTACCCCCTCCCAGCCTGAGTGCATAAACAAATAATATTGAGAATATTAATGGTATAAGATGCAAATGATCATGCTGTAATGTAATCATTGCATCCACTTGGTTACAATCATATCTCTGTCATTTCTTTCATTGACCTGGGCAGCGGACTTCTCTTTTTATTATTACTAAGCCTTTCCTCAATTTCTAAAGTCCATTGTTACGTTTTCTACAGAGCTTGGCAGTTCAGTCTGCTGTGGTCCCATCTCTTTGCTGCACCTACAGTTTTGATGATGCTTGTTGTAGAGTCAATCACAGTTAAAGCTATGAAAGGATAACAGCTGACAAATGCAAATGTGGGATTCCATTAGTTATATCACAATCATAAGGAGCTGCTGATGGAAGCAAATTGTTTTGCCAAACTAATAGATTATTTTATTCCCCTAAAGTCCCCAAATCTACCACTGTGTAGTTGATAAGCTATCTTTTAAATGTATGAACTCAGGAGTAAGTCATAATTGCACCTGGAATGATCGTGTCCTTGCTGATAAAGTAGGCTACAAAGTTTTGTCATTATGCATAAAATGATTATTTAATTTAATTTATTATTTTCTATCACTGAGATCATCTTGATTTTCATTCATATGGGACTAGTTTATTCTTTTTCTGACACTTCCCAGAGGCAACCTTTCCAGCTGGCACCCATAAGGTATTATGTTTTACCATGCCCATATAAGAACATAGACAGATAGATATAATGGTAGATGGCACATTGAGGAATCAGCTCCAAACAAATTTCTCTAGGTTATTTTGCTGGAACAGTCATTTAAAAATTGCCTATGGTTAGTGTTGTAAATAGGATTAAAGAAAAGAGCCAGGGATTATGCTGGTAAAAGTCTAGCTGGCAGCAAGACAAATCAGCCACAGAAAACTAGAAAAACATAGCCTACGGTAGGTAGATTGAATAGGTTTACATTTGAACAGATGCCATGCATAAGAAATTACTAGGACATTTTTTAAATAAAAAGATACCCTTCCATTCCTTTGTATCATTTGGATAAACAGCTTTTATTTAAATGATTATTCAGCTTTTTTAATTCCAAACTGCCTCCTAAAACTTATGGGTTTAAAAACATTGCATATTGAGCCTGGTCTTACTACTGCTGAAATCCAGGGAAAATATCAGGTAGGATCAGGGTCATCCAGAATATTGCATTGATATTTTTGGTCCAATCTTGTTCAATAACTTGTCTTTATTAATACTTGACTTTCCCATCTTACTCTATTAAATTCAAACTTAATTTTGAAGCTTCTAAACTGCAAGTCTGAATAGGTTATGTATGGTGTGGTAATAATGCTGAATCAGTTCTCAGTTATCCTGTTGTAAGTCTTAAATAAACTCAGGCAGTAAGTACAGTTATTCCAGGTTTGGAGACCTATGCAGCAAAATGCTCAATGGCTCCTATGAGATGTTCTATCACCTCAACTTTAGCAATTGAGCCTGGCTGCATCTTTCAGAATCGGGACATTATACAGGAGTAAATGAGATCAGGGTCTCAGCATTGCTATGTTTGCAAATTTTTTTAAGGGATTTACAGCTGAGCTATGGGAACTAATACTTGGGTAAAAGCATGGGGATGGGGTTGTGATGGAAATACCTTTCAGAAATAAAATTCAACATACATTAACCTTAGATGTACTATATATAGCATATAGAAGTTATAGATAGATATTACCATATATATGTGTGTGTGTGTACATGTATATTATTTAGACATATGAAAGACATATTTCAGAAGTAAAATCTACATTAACCTTAGAAGTTCATATATTATCTAATACTATATACATATTGCCTAATACATAGATTACTCCATTATTATAGGTGTGTCTGTTTATGTGTGTGTGTGCATGCACACGCACACATGCACACATGCATGTGTGCACACATACACATATAAATATAGGAGTAATATATGTATTGGGTATTATACATATTAGTTATATAACTTAGAAGTTATACACATACATATGTTCCAAGTCTAATGTAGATTTTACTTCTGAAATAAATGTCTATGAGATACAGAAGTATCTAGAAGTACTATATATAGTACACACATATATAGTACAAATATAGAATACTTCAATATATGGATACAATATACATATAATACATAGTACTTCTATATAGAGTGTACATACAGATATGTATATATATAGCTCTACTGAAAGCATACGACTTTATTATGACTCCATTAGAACTACCACAACAAAATACTGCATTTACCCAAAGCCAAGATGACTTAAAATTTAAAGTGACTGCCCAATAATTAGCTTTTATATATGGATAATTTATAAATATGTTATCATTTTCCATGTATAGAATTTAATTATTGGAGGGCTGTCATAAATTCATCCCCCCCACTGCTACAGTGGGAAAAGCAGCAGCAGGGGCAGAGAGCTGATGGGGGCAGGCTGCCCCTTTTCCCCCACTGTCTGCCCTCCTGCAATGCTTGCTCACTCACCTATCCCCTGCAGCTTCAGGGCCAGAGTCAGAGCCACAGGAGCCACCCGCTTCCTCATCTGCCTTGTATTCAAATCAAATACAAGGGTTTTTTTCCCCCGTGCTGAATGAGGGGAAAAAACATCATCTTGGATTCAAGTAAATATGGAAGCATTTACCAATAGTTGGATTATAATGATATAAAATTAATTAGAACATTTTTATTGATATGTGAAATAATTTTAACTAGAGATATTTAGCTTTAACCTCACATACATGCAGCACCTTTTTATTAAGTCATTCCTGAAGAATATATATATTTTTGGAAATATTTGGAAGTAACATTAATCATTTCATGTTTAACCACTACTATCGGATAACCTGTGGTTATTTTCACTTACTACAGGAGAGATTTGCAAAAGCTCCTAAAGGATTTAGGAGCAAAAATCCCAGTGAAAGTCCATGGGGACCAATGGTCTTAAATCTCTTAGTCATGTTGGAACAATCTCTCCATGTAAGTTTATTTTAATGCTGCATTTCATAGATTTCATAGATTTTCAGGGTCAGAAGGGACCTCAGAAGATCATCGAGTCTGACCCCCTGCCCTGGGCAAGAAAGAGTGCTGGGGTCAGACGACCCCAGCCAGGTTTTTGTCCAGTCTCGTCTTAAAGACCCCCAAGGTAGGGGAGAGCTCCACCTTCCTTGGAAGTCCATTCCAGGTTCTGGTAACCGTTACCGTAAATAAATTCTTCCTAATGTCTAGTCTAAATCTTCTCTCTGTCAGTTTATTCCTTAAAACAGAGGTGGCCAACCTGCAGCACAGGTGCCACAAGTGGCATGGGCAGCCTCTGTGTGTGTGTGTGTATGATAGCAGACTGTGGAGGAGAAAGGAAGTAGAGCAGCAGCTCAGGCAGAGAGAACAAGGCATGGAGCAGAAATCAGACTGGATAGGAGAAGGGGATCAAAGTGGCACTTTGGGAAGGACTACTTTATGGCATTCCTGCCAAAAATGTTGAATTCCTGCCATCCACCCACAGTGTTAAAGTATGTTAAATAACCTGTGAGTGGTCAGTATTTTGGGGATGAGTTTCAAGATGAAAGTTTCTAGTCAAATTACTCTGCTAAAAGCTGATAGTAACCAGAGTAATAAATATGCTTAGTCAACAGATGCACGCACTATTAAAGTCTGTTGTAAGCCTGAACAACCTCAGCTCTCAAACTTACTGGAAATTGAGAGCAATTGCAGCAATTCATAGGAGTAGACCCCAAAGAATAACAAAAAAAAGCAATGCAGCTGTGAATGCAAAGTGAACAGCAAGAAAAGAATAGCAACAGACATAGAGAACATGTCTTGAAAGCTATTGAAAGATAAAAGTCCTCAGCTTCACCTTAAGTTTTCTGAGCTGAATTCTGACTCCAGGAATTTAAGAAACTGTTCTCTTCCAACAGGGTCCTTCAGTGCTTCATCCATGCCAAAACCCCATCGCTTTACTCTCTGCTGTCCTGGCTCTTTGCTGAGAGTGGAAGTGGAAGAGGGGGAAAAAAAACAGTAACTAGTACTTCAGCTTTGTATGTTTACATGAACTCCACAAGTCCAGCTTCATATTTCTTACCTTCCACATCATATTTGTGCTTGTGCACTGTTCAGAGGTTCACTATCATTCAACTAAGCACACTCCACACTTAATCAATGTAACCTAGGTATATGTACACACATATGAAAAGGGGCAATCTTGACTGAGGACAGTTGTGATCCAAATCTAAAATGAGGCAGTTCTCCCTAGTTGAAGCCTGGAAATGGCAAGTATGGATTCTGCAGTCTTTCATACTTTCATGTTTCCTGCACCCCACTTTCAGTTGACCATGCCATGGGACCAGCAGCTGGGAACTTTTTTTTAAGTCCCCAAAACAAGTAACAATCCTCCCTCCCCTCCTCTCTGTGCTCAGTGGCACATCCCCTCTCCTCCCCATCCGTGCCTCCTCAACCTCACCCACTGCTGCCACCGTCTTCAGGGTGTCCCAGGGTTGGAGCTGGAGGGGGGGCAGGGGGTGGAGTGGGAGCTCCAGAGCCAATCCAGCTGTGCTCTACTAGGGACAGCAGCAGCAGCAGGTGGGTTCCTCCTTCCTGCCCAGTTTCCCCAGGTGTGGGGGAGGCACCTGATGCTGCTACTGTCTCTAAGCCAAGCCTACCTCCATGTGCAGTCTAGCTGGAGTGCGGAACAGGTGGCTCTGGAGTCCCTTCCATCCCTGGGGATGGCAGAAGTGGCAGATATGGGAGGGGAGGGGATGGAAAGAGAGGGGAGGGAAGGTGAGAGGAAGGAATGTGTCACTGAACACAGGGAAGGTGGGGGAAATGTTTATATGCTTGAGGAACTTTAAAAAAAAAATCTTCCGCTGCTTCTCCTGTGTATAGTCTGCCTGCATGGTGTACAAAGAGGGAGCAGGAGTGCAGCCACCCCTTCAGCACAGGTTTCTGCTCCTGCACCTCCCTTTATGAAATCCTGAATTTGTCCACTATTACGCTTGTGTGGTTTTATCTAAACATAAAAGGCAACTACATACCTTACTTCAAGTTCCCAGAAAGTAGTGTCATCTGATATCCAAGGGTTAGAAGGGTCAGTGGGCACAAGAAATGGATCGTATTCCACATACTGCTCTGTGTAGGCTAATAGACTTGGAAAATAAAGCATCAGACATTATGTGGTTAATGAGTTTTATGGTTAGGAATCTTACTCTTAAAAAGCAAAGCAAAGTGTCTCCTAGCTTGTCAAGCACTGAAATAGAATAATTTTATTGCTAAAATTAGTAACGTAGCCTTTCATTCAGGAAACCTAAGTTGCTGATGACTGTAATAAGTTAAACTCTCTATAGAAGACTGGTTGTCATCTTTGACTGTCAAAGCATTGGGGATGTGCGAAGCAGGCTGTATTCGATTCAGATTCGGTCCATTTCGGGGGACAGTGATTCAATTTGTTGATTTGGATCACTGTCCCAATTCAATTCGGCTGAATCCAAATCTAAAGATTTAATGCTGATTCGGAGAATCAGCGATTCGGCCATAGACACAGCTTTAAATGTATTTTCTACATACTTCGAGATATTAGGCATGGCTTGTGAACGCTGATATGGTGGGGTGGATAGAGCATCCCACAGGAGTGCGGGGGGGGCCCTGCATGCTCGGCAGTGGACCCCACACTACACACCCCCGGCTCGGCTGCGGAGGGACCCTGAGTGCTCCCTTAGACCCAGGAGGCACCAGTCTCTGAGCTGGTCCCCGCGTGATCTGCAGCAGACCTGGAAGTGGACTGGAACTTCTTCTGGTCCACTTCTGGGTCCATCGCCAAGAATGCTGGGGACCCCTCCCTGCACTCCTATGGGATGTTCCATCCACCTCACTATCTCAGTGTTCATGAGCTGCCTGGTACCTTGAGGTATGTAGAAAAAACATTTAAAGCTATGTCTATGTCTGAATCATTGAATCTCTCTGAATCTATTCAGAGGGTTCTGATCCAATTTGGAGAAATTAAAGGGTCTCCTGATTTGATTTGGAGATTCGGCCACTGAATTGGGCTGAATCTCCACCAGATGGAATCAGCGACCAAAGCTTTGCAGAGCCCTTGCAAAGCATACAAGACTGGTTCAATTACTGTTGTTTCCTTCTTACAAAGGGCTGAGACAGCCCTTAGCTGGTGGAAACATCTAAAAGAGAATATGTTTGCTCATTTATGGCTAGTTGCAGAACAGAGAAAGAGGCCTGTACAAACTGATTTGATCCTGTGAACGATCATTGTTTGTGTGTTCACCTGCAAATTATGGTTGAATTACCATCACATGCCATACCATAAGGGAACAGTTTAAAAAGAGACTGGGATGCTATTTTTCTCCTCACTGGTCTGGAGAGAGAGGCTAGCCATTTACACATCTACCCCATCAGTCTCATATGAGCCTTGTTTCTATTTAAGTGGGTTCATCTCTTGGTGTGGATGGACCGGCTGAGGAAAAGAAGCTCATTGAGAATATAGATATGAGGCAAAGCTGCAGCATCACTGCATGGGAGATCCAGAGACAGGTTCTTGAGCTGCACAGGTTGTTTCAGTCTGGTTAATGTCTCATTAAAGTCTGTTTTAGGACTTAGATGGAACTAAGTTGGAGCAGCTGAACTTGGTGGCATTGCACATTCACATGAAGGCAGGGTGGAATGAGATTATTCTGGAAAGTTAATGTTGGGGGAAAGATGGCAAACAATGGAAAAAAGAGTTAGTAGAAGGTGTGGGACGTCGGGGGTTCTTTTTGTTTTTCAGTTGCTGGGGAGTAGGCATGGTGCAGGCTTGTTAAAATTTGTCAAAACCAGTCATATTCCCTAAACAGGGCTCCCTAATAACTTTAACATGAAGGATATATATATGTGTGGGCACCTCTTTAGCAACAGAGATCAAATTAAGTATTTGCAAAACCAAAGATAAGTCAATACAACAAGGGTGCATCTATGAGAGATGCATTAATGCACATTAGCCTAATTTAATGTGCATTATGAGCATTCATGTGCATTAAAAATGGTGAAATTACGCTAATCATGCCTAAATTTGATACCTGAAAATGCAGGTATCAAATTTAGGCATGATTACTTAAAGCGCATTAACACACATGTGGATGTGACCCAACACTAACTTTAGTGCCGGGTCTGCCCAGCCACTAGGGGCACATGGCAGTGCTGCAGGTACTTGGCACTAACTTTAGTGCCAAGTCCCTGGATGTTTAGACACCTGCCAGAAATCGCTTAATGCATATTAGCTTAATACAGCCACTCTCTCTCCAATCTCTCAGTCCTGATCCTGAAGGGAAACTTACACAACACTTCCCGGAGACGAGCCTATGAGCTCCATTTCATCAACCTCCTGGATACTAGAGATCATGGACTAAACATAGACATTGGATTTTTGATACATTATAATCTGCCTGGCAACTGACTCCCCAGCCCAGCCCAACCCCTGGCTTCTTTACTTTTCATTCCATCCAGGAAGAGCACACACCAACTGCTGAAACTTCCTTAGCCTGATGAAGGGTTTTTGAACCCAAAAGCTTGCTTAATAACTATTCTCCAACTATTTGGGTTGATCTAATAAAAGATATCAAATTCACCCAAGGAACCTTGTCTGCCTATGTCCTTAGACCAACATGACTACAACCTACACCCCTGTAAAATTTAGTAGCGCTTAAGTGCAGATGCTCCCCATAAGAATTAGCTAGGCTCTGAAGTTTAGAGCTGCAAGTAGTGGATACATGTCCTCTACAGTATGGAAAAATGGAATTATTCTGCCCTTGGAATACTACAGCCTTTTCTCCACGGATCTGGTAAAGCAGGTAATTATTTTCCTAGGAGTTTGTACAAAGCAATTTCAGCATCTCTCCTTCCTTGGCAATACATACACACTTTTTTTTCTTTTCAGCCTGAACTGGCAGGAACGGAATTTATTTGCACCATATTAGAAAATAAGAGAAATGTCATAACTGCAGAACTCACATTTAAAGAAAACTTTCTACATTGATTTTCAATAATATCTTAGCTCCTCTGTGTCATTCTCCTGTTTGGTTTCTTTACACAAATTCTCTCCCTATGCTTCTTAGAGTACTTCAGAAATAGCGGATGTGACAATGCACTTACCTCTCTGCAACTTTTGACATTTTTAATCGATGCCTATCTAATTGTATTTGCCAATACTTAATCTGCAAGAAGAGAAAGCAAAATGTTATGAGTAATTCATTGCCTGGCTCTATTTTCAGGATTTTTGTTTTTATTAAATCTTAATTTATCCAAAGGTATGAAAAAAGTATAGATGAACTATATTGACATTTCAATATTATATTTCTAGACTAAATGTAACTTTCTAGTAAATATAAATGATTATACAGAGCCAAAAAGGGACTGATTTAACATATTTTCCTCAGGGCTCATCAACAAAAAGCCAATTAGCATTTTTCAAATTTCTTACAAAGAAAGCCATTAACTGCTCAGTCATGCACCTTCTACAAGTTCTATTGCTCTAGGAAAGATTAATGAAGCATTAATGACAGATATAGGTGTATATCCCACAGATGCATGCACCATGATCCAACTACGCCCTGAAACATTAAATGAAAATGTTGAAAATAAGAGTGAGCAAGCCGCTTAGTGCTGAAAGGCTGATGGGTTTAATTATAGAAAGTACCCAATAAATGGATTGTTGGTAAAGCTTAAACTGCTAATAAAGACTAAAAAATGTTAATGTTACTCCCATTAGTCTTAATATGGAAGCTAAATGCATAAGTCCCCCAATACTGGAAGAAGGGGAAAGAAAAAAAACAGATTTTATTTCCTCTACATATTTACATGCTAAATAAATATCCTTGCAAGTTATGGTAACTTTTGAATCTAATTTCCATGTTTTAATGGGTTATATAAAAGTTTATTTGTTTTCCAAACCTCTTGATGTAGTTCATCTTCTGTGGGTGGCTTAGCTTCTGGTATTGGTGTATGGGTAGGACTGTGACTTCGAATGTCATTTTGTAGTCCATAGACAGACTACACAAAAACATGGAAAGACAGACATTTGTTTTCAAACAGTGTGCTCTACTTGTGCCTATAGAAATTGTATATATATTTTTAACTTTGTTTTTTCAGAAGTTTTACATTAGTACTCAAGTATGTGTACCACATGCTGAAAAAAATAATCTGTACTTCAGTGCTGGGATAAGTATTAAAGGATTCTTATAAAAATGCACAATTTCATGGTGTCATAGGATGCTAAAACTACCATATTTTATGTTACTTAATTATTTTAGTAAAGTAGGAAGTGGAGATGACACAGGAAGGCAGCTATCTCAGTGGGTGGAAATGGCTGGCAGGAAGGGAAGGAACAGGAAATTGAGAGGTATGCTGTCATGATTAATTATTATTTGTACAGCTTCCAAATTTATGGTGAATGTTTTATAGATGACTAATGTCTGAAAACTTTGATCAGTACACACAGAACAGTACTGAAAATGTCAACAAATCCAGACTTCCTTTTGATTCAGTCCTTTATATGGAATGTGACCATAAGCTAACTAAAAGGAATAGTTTACATTAAATATGGGCTCAACCTGATATTGGCTGTCTTAGAGTTCAGGTGGATTGCTATACACTGTACTAAATCAGTCCAGCCCATTATAAATAGAGGTGATTTGTAAAATCTGGAATTTGATACGAATATCAACATTTCAAATGTTTCAATTGAGGAAAAACTTTTACCTTAAACTAGATCCTATTCCCTTCAGAGTTATTATTAACCCACTGTTGTTACAGGGGCTCTGACATATATATTGTAAGCAAAAATTCTAGGCCATTTTCCTTTTTCCATAGAAAACAATGTGGATAGTAAGTATAAACCATGTGTGTTCAATCACTGAAAGCAACACATTTAACTTATTCTCTTCATATCTTTTAAGGTCTTGGGATAGTATTTACATATTTTGTTTCAGAGAACTGAAACAAAAGTTGGAAAGTTGTTCTAAGGCTTTGTATGTGTGAACTGCATAAGATTCATGTGTTCAGTCTCCTTAAATAGCCCACAAATAGTGCTATAATAATGCAATCTAAAGAAAACAATGCCTTATTATTTTTTTTAATACATTTCCTGGTAATTTGTCATGTAAAGGCATGAAGAGGCAAGGAAATATTTAGATTTATTTGTACAATGCAAAGAAAAGGGGGGTTATATTTTCATTCATTAAAAGAACTGAAGAACATGTCAAATGATGAGATACACTGCTTTCTATCCAAACTCAGCATTTACCTTTCTTGTTTTGTGTGGATTTTTCATCCTTGAAGACTTTTTTATATCCACTTCAGTCGTGTTTACACAGCCCGGCTGAAAAAAAAAATGGCATCTAAGACAAAAATTCATTTCATATCATTACTACACCAGGAAATCATTACTTAGGCCCCCTCTTTATGTTATATTTATTAAGCAATGACACAGTTAATTGCACAATAAACTGGCTATTGGTGCAAATTAACTATGACACCTTAAAAAGTTTTTGCTCAAAAATGTGCAATGGCTTTATAGCTGGTTTCTATCCATCTTTAATTTGCACATGTAGGCAGTCCCCTGTGGCTGGGAGATCACAGCTGCTGTTTCATGTGTAGCCAGTGCTGAGAGTCCCACAGCTGCAGGACTTTCAGCCTCAGCTGTGTGCATGATGCAGCTGAGACTGAGAATCCCTTCAGGTGTGGGACTCTCAGGTTGGGCACAGCTGGAGTTGAGAGTCCTGCTCTGATGTCCCAGCCCTGGGGGTGCATGGGGTGCCCCATGGCTGGAAGATCACAGTGGCTGTGGATCCCCAATCATGGAGGTGCATGGGGTACCTCCATGCCTGGGAGTCCTGTCAGGAGAGGAGGCTCCCAGCTGCGGGACCCTGCTTTTTGCAGGGGAGCCTGGGATTGGGCTCTTCTTGCACCAGTAGTAAAGTGCGATGGGATCTAAAGCATAATCCCAAAACAATACCTGCTGCGATACATCTGTGGCTTGGCAGGAGGCATGATTTTATGAATCGCTCATAAGATCTCATCATGCCTTTACTGGCATGTGTAGAGGGGGCCCTAGGGTAAGAAAACTGAGTTCAAACACAGAAGTGTAGATAATTATATCATAATGATATATGACAATATATGTTAAAACAAACCTTTGGATGTTGTAGTATAGATGCCTCTAGAGCAGGGGTGGGCAAAATGCGGCCCGTGGGCCGGATGCAGCCCGCCAGGCTATTCCATCCAGCCCACAGGACCCCTAAAAAATTTAGAAAATTTATATTTATCTGCCCCTGGTTGCCTGTCATGTGGCCCTCGAAGACTTGCCAAAGCTCAGTATGCGGCCCTCCGCCCCAAGTAATTGCCCGCCCCTGCTCTAGAGACATATAAACTAGTTCTGCTTACAGGGCCATGAGTATTGCTGTTTTATAGCCTGCCTTTAAACTGCAGGGGAAATGCTGCCAGAATTGGATGTCTTTCCTATAACAATGCCTTCAGAAAAAAATATATTGAAACCTGCCCTAAAGTCCATTTTCAATGAGCAGTCTCCTGTTTCAGTTTACTAATTACCTGAGTTTTGAATACCATTTTGTTTGGCCTGTACTTAGAGAACTATTCTTCTATTGCACTCAGGATGCCCTTTAAGCAAGTTTAATCTATTTCTGCACTTTGAAAGGGCCGTGAACAATACATAGACAAACACAAAAACATTCTAAAAGGTGTTTACAACAGAGGCAGGTACTGGATCACTAAGATGATTATGGATGTTTAATTTCAATGAGACCAGAAAAATCATAACTAAGAAACAAATAATATGACTATCTTTGTTTTGCAGAAAAACTCCAAGCAGAAAAAATGTCTTGCTTGTTTAATTCAGAAATTAAGGTCTTGTCTAGATTGAAAGACCCTCATTTGAGAGCCAATTAAATTATATCACAGAAGACAAAGCTACACAACTGAGAAAGGAAGGGAATCTTATCAGACAGTTTAAAATATTTAATGACTTACTGATTATAATTGTATTTAACTCCGCACCTAGTGAACACTTCTCAGAGAGCACATTTTTAAGTTTCAGAATCCCAGTTAGATGTGCGGCGTACAAAAAGGCTCTCTCGCCTAACCACTGGGCAGTGCTCATATTTTAAGGTTAAGAAGAGCAAACAGACAACAAACAAATTAATCTAGTCTAAGTGGTACTTGAAAATGGAATTCACCCTTCCCTCTCTACAAATGTTGATCTATTTTAATGCTTAATTCTTTTGCAACCTTTACATGTATTTAAGAGTTGAAAAACAGTTACTCCAGGCTAAACCTGAAATGACATTTCTAAATTATAAATCCTTCCTAAGTATGGGCTTATACTGAAAGTGTCAGACTGTTCTTAGTAGGCAAAACTAGCGAGAGGGATTTCTATTTATAAAGAAAGTTACAGAATGAGAAGAGAGGGAAGTCAGTATAGTGGGAAACATTAATCAACATGCTTCAAGGTATCCCTGAAATACACTGGGGTCAGGAAGCAGTGTAGTTTTCAGTGTAAGACAAGTGTTGGATGCTATATATCACAATTAAATGCATTACAAGGAATAAAGCCTTCTTTTAAAATATTAAACACTAGCTAGGTGTGGAGACAAGATAGAGGATTAGATGGACTCCTAAACTATTTTAGCACAGGCAGTTCTAGGAAGTATATACAGATCCTCTGTTGGTTTTTTCCTAAAATAATAAGTGGCAGCTGTTAAACACTATAATACCAAATGAAAGATACAAAGAGAAAATTAAGGCTTAATATAACAAACTCTTCACATCTGAAACAGGTATGAGCTTCAGTAACTGCTTTAAAAATAAACTGAAGTCCTTGTTAAATCATGTTCAGTGCATTTCTAAAATGTAATACTGATCTGATTTTATGGTTATATACTATGAGCCTGGATCTATGCATTCTGAAATATGGCACAAAATCAATTAACCCAATGACTTCCATAGTGATAAGGGCAAAAGTAACCATCAGAAGGGTAAGAATAAAAATACCTAGGTATGAGAAAATATCTCTAAGACAGTATCTTAAATTTTCAAGAAAACAATACAATGGGTACCCGTGAAGAGGCAAAAACTGTAGTCTTTTAACTCAGAACATCTTATAGGCCAAGTACAGTAGTTAAAAAAACCTGAGGAATAAATGTAATGTACACGGTTTTCTGTAAACAGCCTAGGTTAGATCAGTAGCAAACAGAACACATGTTCACCCTTTGGTGGTGAGGGCATGCAGGCTGCCTGCAGTGGTTGAGGCCATCAGGTTGGAGGTGTTCCTGCATGCCTTCCAGCATGCCCTGTGGGGCATGCCGGAGACTGCTGAGTGGAGCCAAGTGCTCAAGCCAGCCCTGACTGGCTGCTGGGAATGGAAAAACATGCCCCCAACCCTACTTCCCCTAGCTGAGGTGATCAGTTCCCCCTCCTCCACCCTAGTACTCCAGGACCCTGTAGTTATTGGCCTTAAAAGCCTTAAAATACCCCATTGCGCATGGCTTGGGGACCTACTGGCAGTGGCCATGCATTGGAGGTCACAGGCCCAGTCCCAATGTTATGCCCTTGCCACCATGACCCACCAGAGGCGAGCCACCCACACTGGCTCCTGCTTGTGAGGGAGTCTACACTGGGGTATAGGTGGCAGGATGCCTGGCTCTGGCCACTGAGCTGTAGTGTGGAGGAGCCAAGGTGGGGGTCTGTGGGGCTTTAGTTTAATCCTTACAGATTTGCTCACAATTTGGTTCAAGTTTGTAGCAAGTTTCAGAATTCACCCGATAAATGGAAAGCACTGCTTTGGTTCAGATTTCATTACAGGAATTTCCACAGCTATAATATATATATTGCCCCTGAAATCCTCTCTAGATGTAAAAAAAATGCTCCAGAATTCAGAGACACTAGTAAATGAAATTCAAGGCAGAAATTGAAGCCATACAGAAGCTTCCTTTTGTGCAAAGAGGCCAGAGTAGCAGCTGTGAAGTGCATGGCAGAAGGAAAGCTGCTGAATGTTGGTGCGGGAAGATACCTGTCAGGAAGCTTCAGTACTAAGGGGAAGGCAGAAGATATCAGCACTCTGGCAGCCTGAAATGGAGGGAGGAATAACGAACAGTACTGCCTAGCAATTTCAACTTGTCCCTGCAAAGCCCTCAATGGAATTCTAGTCCAGCAGTTCACCCTTATTTCTTATGTATTCTGTATTTATTAAGAGAGTGTTGAATATACAGTTAAGCGTGATATTTAATGCTCCTCTGGTCACTACTGTTGACATCTGTCTTTACTTAGAAGTGATTATCAGACTTCTTGACTAGGGACAGAAGTTACACACAAATTGGTTTAAGTGATCAGAAACTAGTTTAAACCTGCAACAGAATAGAAGTTCAGGGCACATAAATCAAATGGCTGAAACTGGTTTAGGATAAACCTGGCTGAATATAGTATCAGACTTAACTGATTTGGGTCAAACTGATTTATGAAAATTCTGTCCCAGTTCCTGGTTCAAGTTCCTCACAGTCTCCCACATGAACGACTGGTGTCTCCTGCGACTGGGGGGCGGGGGGGCACCATGGCAGCAAGCGAGGACTGCC